CGGAAACGTTTCGAGTGACGAGAGACGGATGAATGAGCTGACACACATCACAGCCTGCTCCTCATAACACCCAACGATCTTTCTCCGCTAGTATTTTTTTGAAGCCGTGAGAAAATCTGCGCGGGTCTGGAGAAGGAGACAAAAATCGATGCAGCGGGAAGAAATATCCATCATCTCAAGAATATTTTTGCTCCTTCTTGTTATCTTGTTCTGGCCATTACCCCCGAAATTTGGCAGTCCCCCGTCAGCATCTGCTCGGGCACTTGTACAAACGAGCGAGCTAAATGGGAATGTGTGGATAACTGCTCGAAAAGCAGTAGAACCTCGATTATCCCGAATTCCTCGATATTGTCGCCAACCGAGTCTTTCCTTTTCTCCCCCCAATTCGAATTTTCTGGAGGCCTATTGGCTAATACAGTACCTTATTGAAACAGAAAAGAGAAAAGCAATAATAATTTAACTTGAGGTTCTTTGATAAGAAACGAAAGACTAATTGGGGAAAAAACCCCTTGCCGCCAAGTTCAGTATCTTATCAACTCATTCAAGAATCGATTTGAGGACTAGAATATCACCGAATACACTTCCCTGTAATTATTTTTTAATTTCTCCCAACACAAATGCTTGTTTTCCTAACTTTAAACCAGCAGAATTTTTTTTTGTTTTTTTTTTGCTGGTCCTTGGAAGTTCGATTTGAAGATGTTCGACTGTACTGTACCTGGTTCACTGTCAGGAATTCACACGTAACCACGGTAGCGTTTGCACAACTCCTTCGTTCTTCGTACTGTATTAGAAAAAAGAACATTTTTTTACAGAATACTGTACGCCATTTGATGAGCCATAATGAACAGCTTCTCCAAGTTGTATCCCGAATCATGAAGAAAATACAGCAGCTTGAAAATCACTCGAATTTGTTTTACTCAGTCGATCGGTGGGATTTAAATCGACTAGCTCACATATTCTTGCAGTTCATAAACTGCAAATTTCGTCTTTGGGTATTATTTGCTTAAGATAAAGTGCCAAGCTTAGCAGTTCTATTTGGCGCGGAGCATTTTTGACTACTTGATCTGCGACGAATCTCATGAAACTAAACTCCCTCAGAACATTTTTTAAGCACATACTTTCGCACTTGGTAATCCCTTTCTAGATTGGCTATTATCTTTAAAGACCATAACACAAATAGCCTTGAATTAAAATAACCGCAGATGAGACCATGCGTTACCCGCGCTTGCCAGCTTCTCTGAAGAACTGCTAAAATACTGATGCTCTTTTTTTTTTACCGCGAGCTTCACCCGCGAGTTGCATTTCTGAGGCTTTTTTTGTCCATCGGTTTTTCCAAAATTTCGACGCTAACCACGGTGGAACATAAATCATGGTCTCAAAACCTGCACATGCTCAGACATCGAGTCTGGCGCTCTATCGTAAGTTTTCCATGCGTCATTTGTAGTTTAGGGTTGACCAGTTCCACGCGGGGTTGAATACAATTCATATTTTAAAATGTTCGAGAGATTTTCACTTTTCATTACGCAGTCGCCAGAAGAAAAAAAATCTGAGACAATACCAGACGCCAAAAATGTCGTGGGAATATTTTTTTCACGTTCCCTAGAGGATTAGAACGCGAGAAATATTCAACCCCGCGCGGAACTGGGACAACCCTTGTAATTTTGCTGTTCACATCAGCAAAACTAGTACGCTTATGTAAAAGAAAACGCCTTCTGTAGTATGAGTCAGACAACACAAATACTTTATGACGCAATACAAATTACAAATTTAATCGCAAACATTCTGTGAGATGACGAATGAAATGATCCAAGATGGATATGGTTTCGTCTACGTCTCCGAAATTTAGATTGAATCTATTATCACAGGGGAACCTGTAGGAAAAGTTCCTCACATCTGTCGACCGCCGCGCTTTAATGTGTGAACCAGAATCGCCGAATCACACAAATTGGATTATGCAAACATGCTCCAAATAACTTACCAATAATTTTTTTAATGATTACTTTCATCGGCTCCAAGAATTTTTCAAATTCCTTAATTTTGTAGATAAATACAACATACTCTGAAGAAAACTGAGACAATAAAAAAATGCCTATCGAACGTTGTCCTAGCTTTTTCTACTTCTCAACTAATGCCATTTCCAAGAAACTCACTTTTCTCCTCACGGGCTACATGGGCTATATCAGATTTATTTTGAAATCACGTCTACTGTATAAATACCAGAGGCAGCGTCCAATAGGGACGACCCTCTCACATACGCAACTCGTGAGCAGATTGAGTTCCACGTAGAAAAAATTCACCCACTGGTTGTATCGCTTGTTTTTCAGAGCTTTTTGGACATCATCACATACACAAGAGGACAGGCGACCATCACATGAAACGTATGCATCAAAAATGAACTTACCGACTTCCGGGCGTATCCTGCGGAACAACCTTGACGTTGGTCGGAGTGGCCGCGTTTGACGGCCAAATGCCACCGCCGAACGACTGACTGCGGGAAACACGCACCGCGTCTTCGTCATTTTCCCAGAACATGGCCAAACGTCAAGTTTCCATCACGCACTATAGCAACACTAACCCATTGGAAGCACTGAGTCAAATAAATGCTCTCCGCACTTGCGCGTGAAAAAAAAAAAAAGTGAACACGATTTCACATTTCCCTAAACCAGGTCAGATCTGCAAACAGGAGGAGAAGCGAATCAGCACACAATGCTCAATTGAGATGCCTCCGCCCAAAAAAAAGAAATGAACCAGCGAGAACGGGAAAGCGGTCGTTCATCCGTCACCTTTGAATCAAGCAGAGCAAGTTTGAAGGCTTCCGTTCAGCTACTTTCCGTACACATCCCAAGCCAAGGAAATATTTGCAGAAAGACACGATAAGAGAAAAACCTGCCTTGCAAGAGAAACAAAAAAGTTGTCTGAACAGTCGACGTATTCCGCAAGCTTTTCGTGAACTGCTGACTCTTTCCTTAACCTGGTTCACGCTAGACTGAACCTACAGTCTACCTTAAGACAAAAGAAATTTCAGCGTCGGTGAAAGTCTGATGCCTCAGTTTACCAACCCAATTTCCTTCAACTGAATTCCATGAAATACGAAACGGAGGCCCGTGACGGGCTGAAATTTAAAATATTCCATTTCTCTTATATAGAAACGAAATGAGGTTTCGTTGATGATTCAGGCGAATGTCCGTTATAAAAAGCGAACATCTTCTAAAATGGATTCTTGTTTTACACTAGTTAAGTTTTCGATCAAAACATGCCCAAGCATTTTTGGGGGATATGCTCCGTAGGGTGAATTAGAAAATTTGCAGCACGACTTCTAAATTTAAAAATATAGGAATAATAATGTTTTCATGTGTCATACTACTCCGACCTTTTGGAGTGAACAAGCATTAAGACTAAAGTCGAGTTAATTATAGGTTTTAAGGAGTTTTCCAAGCGACTTTAAAAGCAAATTTCCAAAGGGGTACCATTTCATGTGTATATAGATTTTATAAAAGCCTGAAAAGGACTGTTTTGAGGTAGAGTTTACAGAACGAATATTGAAAAATATATACTGTAGTGAAGTTTGTTAATAGGACATATTTATCAGAAACACGTTAGCATCACCTGAAATTTGCCAATCAATGTCAGAATATGATTTTTGCCAGTAAACTCGAATTTCCCACGAAAACTCTCGAGAACAAAAGTTTTTTTTTTAATTTCACTCAATTTGCGACAGTTGCTTTCGTAGGCGCTAATTTTTTATCAACGATGCTCGCCTGAGATTCTGTACCACATCGTTTCAAGACTTATTGCCGAAACGATCGCAGGATCTGGAACAAAAGCGAAAGACTTCCACAGTTCTTCGAAAAATGGCACAACGACGTCCTTCCCAAGCCTTGAACGAGTTCAGGGCAATGCAGGAGGCTGGCGGAAATTACGGGAAAAATTATGCACGTTAAANGGAGGCTGGCGGAAATTACGGGAAAAATTATGCACGTTAAATTATAACTATTGAAGGTTCCTCTCTTCTCGACGAAAATTAGTGGCAAATATGGAGGAACTTTCTTCCTTGGAGTCAGATGGAGAGAATGCGTCAACTGACGAGAAAGCCACTTCGGATACGGTGATCACATATTTATGGAAAAATACACATTCTAAACGAACATTGGACACCAAACATTCCAAGTTTCATCTTAATTTCAGAAATAAAAACTTGGAAGAAAAATATCTACTGAACATAAGATAGTGTTATTCGTGTACGGAAGTACATTACAGTATTCTAAAATATACTGTACATGGTAAACAGTGCACTTGTTTTACTACTCACGAGAAGGATTCGCAAAATGATTCCTCGCATTTTAAATTTGATTAGTCTTGCATTGAAGATCTAGCGTTCAACTCGTCAGAGGTAGAAAGACGTCAACCGAGTTGATGAGATACGATCAAATTAAAAAGATACATTCTTTAGGCTACCCACTGATCCAGCTTTTTCTTCCTTTTTTAGAAATGCAAAAGACTTATAAACCGGAGTACCACTAAATTCAGGAAGCCTTGCTTCTTTTTTTTTTTTTTACAACGGAATGCAGTAACTTGTTTTGAATTGAACATGAAAGGGCTTTCTTCTCGTCTGCCACTCTTGAACCATCGCTGAAATCGATTCTAAATATTACGGATAATTGGTTTACGATCATTTTAGACGAAAAGCACTGTCGACGAGGACGTCGAAGAGGAAGAAATCCCACTGGAGGACTGCGACTTGTTGATGGGACTTTGGGGCTGGTACCCTGAATGGCTCCATCGATCGAGCGTCGATTCCAACTTCATTCCATAGAAAGTGGCATGGTCGCGAGTTTCTACGACGTTGGTTATTTCACGTTCGCATTTCCTGTTAGTTTCTATGGTGGTGAGTCATTTTGTTTGTCGAGGAAATTCACCCATTCATGTATATTTCATAAACCATTAGAAACGTTATTAGAATAATCAGACTTGCTCACGATCGACCCGCGAAAATATATAAAAGTCTTCCGCAATTTCCTCAAGCTCCGAAATACGCAGACCTGCACAAATATAGAGTGATGAGTTTTGAGCAAAGTCACGGAAGCTGTCCAACTCGCCTAAAGCTCATCCTATTCATCAAAATTTCCAAGTTCTACATTTTCACGAACGAATCTCAGAATGACATGATCAACATAATCTTTGACACAAAATATTGATACTGAAAGAATCAAATACAGGATTAATTTTTAAAAATCCCAATACCCCAGCATCCTGCCAGCCTACGTCACCACGTTCAAAGGATTTCCCATGACCCAAAACGTCTTCTTTATCTTCTTTATCTCTGTTCTTCAGCTAATTTAGCGTCGCTCTTAATTAGGTACTATAATTATAGAAAACAATTTAGGCCTTCTCCGGTTATCTATGATTTTGGACCGCCCGGAAGGACGAACGGTCATTAACCCGGGCCATAATTTATCTCGTACATCAAGATTCATGGACTCTTCTCATTATCGTTAGAATTCCCCAGGAGACTTCAGCTTTCAGTTCGAAGGTTCTACCCAAAAAGGAGATTACCGCGAAAAATATGATATTCGCATTTAATGTTGAATCTAAAATGTATGCGAAAACCATAATCGTGAAGTGTTCGCTATTAAGTTTTTTTTACGTTCATGAATATTCAAGGCGTCGAAAATGTCACTTCATTCGGATTTATCGAAATATTTGGTTTTCATACGCGTTCATTTCTGTTTTCTGAACGAAAAGAGGACACCATCAGCCAAGCTTTAACATTCAATTCAACCACGGCAAAGCATTTCTCGTCAAGGACAGACACAAAAGCTATGTTAACACAAAATCCAGTAGAACGCCTACCGGTTTTCCGCAGAACCCATTATCACAACGAACACTCGAAAGCTTTTAAAAATAGAAGCTTTGCTGCAGTTTTTCCCCCTTCACTGGAACAGCACAGCGGGGAATGAAAAAAAAAAGAGTTTTGGACACGCGGTATAAAGCATATTTGTTTCAGGTTCTCGACTGGCCCAAAAGCCCCAATGGATAGGGATTGGGGTACTGGTCATGGGGCTCGGGTCTCTGGTGTTTTCACTGCCACACTTCCTAGCGCCCTCAATGATGTCGTCGATGAGCGAGACGGATACTTTGTGTCACGTCGGCGGGCTGCACGGCGAAAATCCGTGTCAAGGTTCAATTGCGTAAACTTCAGTTGCGAATTAAATAATCTGACTTCTAGAAACTCAAGATACTGTGTGGATTCTCGATTACAGGCGCCACGGAAACGTTTTTCTCTTCTTACAAGTACATTTTCTACTTCGGACAATTCCTGCATGGCGTTGGAGCAACTCCCTTGTACACTCTTGGAGTCACACTGTTGGATGATACAGTTTCATCCGAAAACTCGCCAGTGTATCTGGGTAAATTATGAGAGATGATTTTGATCAATAATTTCCGCGTTATGACACAATGAGGTACTCAGAAGTCCCGACAGTACAAAAATTATCCTTTGAAAAATTAATTTTGTAAAAATGAATTCAAGGTTCCTTAAAATAGCCCTTTCGCTTATGAAGAGCATCAGGATTTCAACTTCGAAAATACGGCGGACTCCGGTTTTCTTTTCCTCCCGATGATTTCCCAATGTGGGCTAACACTCAACTGCTCCATAGGTTTTCAACTGCCTTCAACAGCTGCGTTCCGATCAAACACCTTCATATTAGTAGCTTTATTTCATTTTTGGCGCACTCATAAAAAAAATCACTGACATTCTCATTTCCGAGGACGGTCCTTTGGTGCTTTCACACTTTTAAATATTCTAGAATGAGTGCACGCGCTTCTTCTCCTACAGAAATACTACTAGTTGAAAAGTGGAAAAAATTAACTGTGAAAATATATTCAACTCCGAATTGCAGGAATATTCTACGCGATGGCGGTTGTGGGCCCGGCAGTTGGTTTCTTCATCGGAGGAGAGTCCTTGAAGCAACACACGGAACTTACTCTAAAAGTTGCAGAGTAAGTTTCATGTAGTGCTTGCAGACATAATTTGCATAAACTACTGTATCTCTTTGATCATTTTTACTTTTCAGACTGGGCTTGTCTCCTGGAAGCAACCTTTGGGTCGGTGCCTGGTGGATTGGATTTTTGATAGCTTCGATTGTGGCTGTTTTCGTTGCTATTCCAATCCTCATGTTCCCAAGAAAATTGCCAGGTAAACGCAACAACCTTTCTTACAATGATATTGTCAACGGAATGCGAGAAATTTCAGTTTAACCCAAGACTACTGCTTATATTCAACGAGTACTTGAGGCATCCGTGCTCGGAATTCAAATCCACTTTAGGAAATTTTTCAGACCGAAAAATGTCCTTGAACTTTGACATGAATGAAGTTTCGAGGGAATAGTGCCTCAAGACATCTTTCCATCAATTCTTTTCGGTACTTCATTCACATCAAGATCCTGAACTCGAGGTCTAGCGACAAAACGTGCCATGAATCAAGCAACAGTTCCAGAACCCAAAATAAAGTCTTTATCAAGAGAATCCTTGAAAGAAAAATATAATATTATGCAAGGAAACTTTCAACTTGACAGTTTCATAAAATTTTAAAATTGACGAATATTAATAGACTACGCGCGTCAGATTTGGACGGGCTGAAGACATGAGCAATTAATGGATTCTGAAAGCGAAGAGTCGCTTCAGCATCAGAAGTTAACTTTTCTGAAACACTAAATTTCTGAAGTACATCATTTTCAAGGCGTGTGAAATACAGTATAAAAAAATTGCGAAATTTCGAAAGTCACCTTTTTTAGCCAGGGAAGCAATGGCGCTCCGACAAGTTTTCGCCCATCAAAAATATCGGAAATCTAACAAGACGGAATCAGACTTAAATTAAATTTGCCAATTTGACTGAAAAAGGTGCCGATAGATTGCGGAAAGAAAAAATGGCAGCAGGGAGAACCGAGTTTGTCGTGGACAGCATGGAAAACACAGCCGACCGATTGGAAACCAAAATCACAGACTTTCCCTGTCATCTACTCGTTCTCTTACGAAACCCAACTTTCGTCGCTCTCACCATGGCAGCTGCTTGTGAATCAGGCCTCATGGCGGGACTAGCGGTTTTCCTTCCGAAATTCATCGAAAATCAATTCAGCCTACAGGCCAGCATGGCTGCTTTGCTCGTCGGTAATTATCACTTCGAATATCGTAAGGGAATCTCGATAAATATTTCTTCTGGGAAAATTGCAAAGGTTCTCTAACCGTGCCCGCCGGCGGCGGCGGAACATTCCTCGGCGGCTACCTCATCAGAAAACTGAAGCTCAACATTTGCGGCATGATTAGAATGTGTCTCGTGGCGGCTTTCGCTTCGGCCTTGTTTTCGTTCGTGTTTATACTCGACTGTCCCAACGTGGAAATGGCCGGGAAAACCGTCGGATACTCCAACACGAACAACATGTACAGTACATAAAAACTGAAGCCTTTCTAACTTCGCGACCCGCGGAACAACCCATCGTATTGCGCATTAAAGAATAATTACGCATAAACGGACGCCATCGAGAGATCATAAATTGAATAAAAGCTAAATTATCTTTATGACCGAGTGCATTCAAGCGATGATGAAATGCTTTTGAAATTTCCGTTGAGTGAAAGAGAAAATGAATTTAATGATGACCCCTGAAATAATATCATCGACATTTCCACTAATTTTGAAAAGCATCCGCCCGTGAAATAAAATACTGAATCACTAACGAAAGTTTTAATAATAAAACTGTAGAATTAAAATAGATCAGAGGAAATGAAGATGCCCAAGTAAATTCATAGAGGCAATCTTGTATTTTCTCTAAGAATCTGAACTCGGGGACGCTGTATCATATACTGTACTGTATTTGATTATCAGCTTTTCACTCGAAATTTTTCGCAAGTCAGATTTCTGTCATTCGCACAAATGCAGTAACTCTTCTCCCAGATAGACCGCGAACTTCTTTCAGCGCTCGCGGTTTCACTGGAAGCCGTTGAAAACAAATATTTGTTCTTCAATTACGTGTCATCACGAAACTAGATTAACGAGCGGACGGTTAATTTGTCAAACATCCTTCATATTCGTTCCCGCAGAACACACCGACTGCCTTTGTGGAACTTGACCTCGGAGTGCAATTCCAACTGTGCCTGTTCTGAGTACCGGTACGAACCTGTTTGTGGAGCTGATGGCTTCATGTACTATTCGCCTTGCCACGCGGGCTGCTTGGTTGAACGACGAGACAAGTCATTTGTCAAGGTATGTTTGAGCAAACACCGGGTAACGGAAGAAAACAGCACCTTCTTCGCTGGGCTTTTGCCCACATTACGAAATTAGCTGAAAACCCTTCTTGAGAAATCGCCGAATCATTGCACCACCGACAGACGAAGATTGCGAAATCGCAACACGTTTCACGATATCTTCAACGGGTAAAAAGCCGGATCTGAAACAACGTCGAACAAGGACGTCGTAAAAAAGAGAAAATTAAAAACCCAGAAAAAAGTTTCGGACTTGTTCGTGCTCGACCTGCCCTCATATTTGACCCGAATGCGATTCAACCCGTCAAAAGAATCAGATTTCCGAGCAACTAATAATTCTAGCCAATGATTTTGTTATTTACACGAAGAAATCTTGACACATTCACTAAGTCAACACCAATACCATCAAGTGAAGCGTGACTTTTTGGTGTAAAGATCCCCATAGAATATACTCTCACACTTGAGAACCAACCCCCCGGAGCATCGATAGCCGGAGTTCTCCAGAGACTGCTTCCTGCATCACTAGAAATTCGATGCAGCCTTAATGGAGTTTTAAAAAAAATATTGAATAAACGCTTTATTTACATACGACCCAGGGGAAGGGTTTTCAAGCAATGAACTCGATACTGCAGATGAAGTAAGAAACTAGTCAACAAAGCAATTATGAAATTTCAATCCGGAGGACTGAACTTAACTTCGAACAGCTTGAAAATTTAATTTATCTATATTCTGCCCTGCTTAAATACTTGATTCATGTCAAATTAAAAGGTTACAGTGGGTTAATGTCAAGTTGGGTAATGTAAGGATTTTTCAGATTCGAACTCGTTGAGCTCAGACGGGTAAGTATTTCCGGCGACACCTGTTCGACCTTCCCGAAGACAAGGTCGGACGTCGTCACGAGAAAAAACCGCGATCGATACCTGTATCATCATTAGTGAATGTTTCTTACATCAATCAATCTGATGAAAACGGGAATAATTGGAAAGGTTTTCATGGACTGCCGATGTCTGACCGGATTCACGTTTAAAACCCGCAATTATGCCGGCCGGCAATGGAACGTACAGGCAGTGGGCAAAACATGCGACAACCACTGCAAATACCTAAACATCTACATCCTGTTCTGCATCGGGTTCGCATACTTGACACTGTTGGACTCCGTGCCGAGCATGTCGGCCACTCTGCGATCAGTGCCTGAGTCCCAGCGTTCGCTCGCTTTGGGTCTACAGATCATGTACGTGAAATTGTTTGGCACAATCCCAGCACCCGTCATATTCGGACGGTTTTTCGACAAAACTTGCCGTCTGTGGCAGAAGGCTTGCCCCATGCAACAAAGTCAGGGCAATTGTCGGTTCTACGACAATTACTGGATGAGCAGGTACGAGATTGACAACCATTTAGAAGCAACCCTCCAAGTCAAATTCCCACAACTTCTCACGAAACATTTCGATTTTCTGGAAAACGATCAGAATCCAAGAATAGCAATTCGATTTTTTTTTCTCTCAAGATTACCTGGGATAACATTTGCAATCGTCAGTACAGAACACGAATATGTTCAAGAAGTCTGCAAATGACTGCAGTGAGATAACTTTTTTTTTTTCAAGAATAGCAGTTGAAAAAATGTGATAGTCAACCCTAACAATTCTACCTTCCGGTCGTCTAATTCGTCAACACCAAGAATAAAAATGTTAAATTACGATTGATCATTAACGTAAAAATTGCATCTGAACGGACCCAGTATAGATATGGTGACGCGAATTATGAAGTACTGTACAGGCGCAATTCGACCGTCCCGTAATTCGACGGTCGAATTTGCTGGGACGTCGACTTGCAATTCGATTTGTACTGTAAATCATGAAAATAAAGTACATTTTCTTAAAATGAAACGCCAACGCTGCGGGAAAAACTGTTCCATCATTCTGGTGCTTTTCTTCGACTACTCCTGTCTGACCTTCAGATAATCCACAGATACATGCTATTAGCAGCCCTGACTGGAAAAACGATGACATTCGTGTACTACGGCATGGCCTACTATAATTACAAATCACCAGATGGCCAACTTTGTTACGACACCGGTAAGTTGTTTTTCTCATAGCGACACTCAAGAAGAAATGGGATGACAGCCTTCAGTCGTACAAGACTTTTGAGATTAATCAATAAAGGAATTCAACAGTTTCAATAATTTCGTCAAATAGCGCAAAAACTGCATGTTTTCATTGTGTACACAGCTTCAAATTATCATATCCTATCCTATATAAGGCCTGAAACCCAGATTCAATTCAATAATTGTCACGACGTATAAGAACTTCCATTCAAACATTTACAGTTCTCGTAATTATCCTACTGATGTAAATTGGAGTTCCTTTGAACATCAGAGCAGAATTCTACAATAGGAAATTTTAAATTTGGAACTTCCTGCACTTCGCTCTCGCAATATACAAGATTATGAAATGGTTTTACAGTACGGTAGTTGAGATGCTGTGCGCGATTCAAATATAAATACTGTATGCACATGTCTCGTGGGTAAAAAAGGCAGAGCAAACGACTAATTCAAGTACGCTTGAAGGGATTTTTTTTGGTGCACTCTACACTAAAACGGCGCCGAAAATGTTCCTGAATAAAACCTTGCTTATCATATCCCGGTAACAGAGAAAGGAAAACCATGTCCCTCTGAGGAAGTCGAAGACGTTGCAGCAGACGAAATGCTCGGCGGAGAAGACGACGTCGCCGACGAGTTCGCCACATTAGAAAAAGGAAGAAAAAGGAGAAGGAATCCAGCATCCGGCAAGGGCTAAATCTTCTCTCACTAGTTATGCTCTGTCAAACGTGTTTTAGTCAATCCAATTCTGCGTTATTTGTTACGGTATCGATATAAATTTCTTCAGAACTATTATATTGCCTGCTCATCGATATGTCTTAGACTATGTCACAGCATCGTTTGACCTGTTAATTTGAAGACCATCAGCAGATGCAGCAGGAACCAAAGGAATTAAAGCAGTCTTCCAGTCGTTTCACGAGTTAACGCGCTGAAAAGTCCGCCACCACAACGCACATATTTCACAGCGTTGAAGAAACTTGCACTCATTACGCGACGGCATTATCTTGAAAGCGAAAGCAGACCACCTGTAATGAAACAATAGATGACAACAATGTAACGAAGATATGGAAGCCATCATTCAAACGTATTTCATACGAAATCCCAACCACAAATCTTTCTTTCTCATCCACATGTTGAATATTTCTTAATCACGATTCAAGTAATCGCGAAATTTGCACACAGGAATTTTTAAGCCAAGAAACAACAAAGAAGTGCAGTTTTTCATGATATTCAAACCAGTACGGAATCCAAACAAGCTACACAGCAATTCAAGTTCTTTCAAGCTTCCAATTGATGTGAAATCTTCAATGCAATCGCTGTTTGACTAGGATCCATTGGATAAAATCTGGGCGTAAAAAAGCACAGGCATTCGTTTTTCTTTTCGCATCACATTTCAAATTCATCATTAAAAAGAAAACCATGGCTAGAAGCAAAATGAAATTGCATTACAGTCATTAGTACTGTTTATGAAGGAACCCGAATCTCACGAACAATAGCATGTTCAGCGTTCTTCAAGCAGAGCTAACACGTCTTTTTTAAGCGGATTTCCTAAATTTTCCGGTGCGTCAACCCAACAGAAGTTCAAAATCGTCGCAGGCACAAGTTTAGCTTCTATTAGAGTTTTTTGATTCCGTATATCTGTGCCAGGAACACAGTCGATATTCAAAGTCCCAGCGAAAGCAGTCAATTTGAATGCGGATTGGTCATCCGCGATGTTCTCCTGGACAAATTCAACCACAGCCGGAATTTTTTCATACACGCCGAATGTTCCCTGCAGATTGAATACAACGAGATGAGAATGCAATTTGACTTCAATACGCGAAGCCGAAATTTTTCACCTGCAATAGAACACCATCTGGAAATTTCACTCTGATTAAGGCGTATTTATATTGACGTTTCTCCACGATTTGGTCCCGTTCTCGCATGGATTTTGTTCTTAGTTGTGTTAACTTATCCAAGACATCCTCTCTATATTTTGGACAAAACACGGCCATCAGACACTACTTAAAAGGAGGGAACTTTTGGATACCTTTGTTTCACCTCCATACGAAGCTCTTCTGGGGTTAGAAGGAAAAAATCCAAGGGAAGGTTCATGTTCTCACTCGCTTTTGAAGGCTGTAAAACCCGCAATCCTCGATCAAGTTCAGGCTTGATCGGTTCCGCATTGCCCAACGCATCAATCAATGTCTGTCGAAAGATGATCCGACTCGATTCAAGAAAGAAATAATTAACGAATCCGACTTACCTCAAAAGTGGATGAATCTGCAGTTTGAGGGAAAACGTAAAAATCCTCCGTTGCACCATCTTCTAATGTCTCTGTTGAGTTTTCAAATCCTGCGGCTTCTAAAAATGTGTCCGCTCCCTCTAACGGCTTCACGCGCTCTTGGAACACTCGGTTGGACTTCCGAATTTTACGAAACTTTGGATCTTCCGGATGCGAAAGAATGTTTTCCAAATACTTCCTCAACGTGGCAACGCAGACTTCAACTTTCGTTTGGTTTCCATTCAAGGAAAAAATTATCAGGACAGCTGTTAAGGCGGGTTCTTCCTCAAGTTGCTCGTACAAAAAGGATCTTATTCTCTCAACCATGGCATCCTTTGGTAGAACTTCGGGACCTGTGCGAAAAATAGTGAAACAATCTCATAAAACTTCTGGTACAGTTCAGTCTGGATAAGAGAAGTGTCAACGCTTACCGATGAGAGGACATTTAAAATATACACCAGTAGCTGCGAGCATCGACGGCGCCTCAAGATCTACGACGGCAGGACCACTTCCAGCTCCTTCAAGCGTGATCGACTGCATTCCGTCTTCTATTAATTTCTTTGCTTCCGCCTTGATGTACGTTTTCGACCTTTAAAATACAAACAATGAACGCAACTCTATTTTTAAAAGTCCCCAATTTTTTTTCAAATTTTCTTCTAGAAATCAGGCGACTTCAAACGTTCAATGATATCATAGATTTTATGGCATGCCAATATTGTACGTCAAGAGCACGATTGCTTCTGGCCAACACTATTTTTCAGAAATAAATCGTGTGAAATTCAATTTACAAAATTCTTCCTGTTATTGTTGAAAGGCACGTGAGCTAATTTCGATTTCCCGTGGTAAAGTCTGAGAAGCTCAAACTGGTATCAGGAACATGAGCATTATCAAAAACGTTTTGATTTTGAAGGAACTGCCTACAATGGAAGCGCACCTTACGCTCACACACAAAATTGTCGTCTATTCCGAATCACAGAAGAAATGTGCACCTAATTTTCAAGTAAAATACGGTTATTTGAACAGAAACAGACTGAATGGCCACTGTACCATTGTGGACTAGCTTGCTGGCCCTGCTTGTCCAGTCGAGCTACAGCTGCCAGCGCGGCAGCACGTTGAGATTCTGTTTGATGCACAGCATCTTGACGTGGACCACCGGCAGAAATGCGCTGTTGTGACGAACTCGGGGATGGACGAGATGGATCGTCCGTCAGTTTGTGGCCTTCGCCCAATTTTTTGAATTTTGCATCACGTTTTTTCTTTTCAAAAAATCTTTTGATTGACGCCATGTGAATCCCGCCGAATTTCTGAAGGAAAAGCAAACCTCCAACGATCAAACTATTTCCGTTCTCAAGATCCAGGAGACATGAAATTCACAGCTTGAGCATGTCGACATTTCTTTATAACCTGGTGCAGGCAACGCACATTAAAATTCGAACAACAACACGGCAACTCAAATTATTCGCAATGCAGAATATTCAAGATCACAAGTATACGACACGTCATCGACGATCGGCATCCTCTTGAGGTCGGCGTTGACGACCAGACCAGTCATATCCACCAGGTTGTACTTCATCATTTCCATTATTCCCGTCGTCATTTGTTGGATCGTTTTGATCTTCGGACAGCCTAGGATCGTTCTCCACTTCATCCGGTGGATCCATCAGTATTCTCCTAATGGAATATTCACAGAATTAACTGCTTGTATCACTAATAAATTCAACAACATACATGAACAAAGGTGTTTTCAAAATCTTGAACCCTCCTCGCGTGTTCGGATAAACATCTTCCAGGAAAAAGTAAAGATGTCCAACAACCATCCCCAAAACATCCACGATTACGGAGTTTCCGAGTAGTACGGAAAACGCAAGCAAAACCCACGGCAAATAAGGAGCCTAAGGGAGTATAAGCTGCATCATCGAATTCACCGCCGATAAAACTTACCCAACATTACCTGAAAATTCAAAAGCCCAAAAAAATTCATTCGAATGAAGGGATTTCTCCTTGACCAGATGTACACCAGCATGATCGTCAGGGCTTGGCCAAGAAAAACAAGATTCACGAATAGTCCAAGAAATATGAGAACAAATCCTCCGAATAGGAACATCATTACGAAGTCCGAAGTGCGCCCTCGGAATGAGCCTTCCTCAAGCATTCGGCAATATCGGTAGGTGAAGATCATGTTGAATAGAAAATTGAAGCCGATTGTGCCGAAAAAGAAGAATGTGGTGAATATCCGCCAAACTTGGAAATTTCTCCATATCAGAATGGGATTGAAGTACAGTTGGAACGGTGAAACAACATCTAGTTGCTGGAGAAAAGACATACAGTAAATGCTGAAAGGCACCGAACGTCTCAAAACAATGCTACTCACCACTGCTAAAGATGTGAGCACACATGCTGTAGCATACGCTCGCGTAACAGGAGGAATTTGAAAATACTCCTGCGTAAACGTTTGGAACGCCATCGAACTATTTCCACATGTAAAAACTGGAATTCACATGAGGCCGTTCAACGGGAATGAAAAAATCGCACACTGTCGTAACCGGGACAATTTGGATTCATCTTAATAAAGTACGTTTCACGCAAAAGTACCATCAATACATATGTTCAGAGGCACAACCTGTACGCACTCTTTTTTTTTTCAGAAAAACTACACTGGGCACCAAGCAAAGAAGCAATGACTTTTCGCGCAGATTCATCGCAACGGAGGCGAGACGTGACAACACGTCATTTATCTGATGCCGGCAAAAAGAACCGATCTCGTTGTCTTCCGGGCGTTCTGCTCACGCGCCACCGAAGTATCACGATTCACACGGTGTGCTTATCTCACCTCGCGCTTCGGAGATGATGCATGCTCGCCGTCACACGTGCGCGCACTACCTGTATCTTTTCCGCAATGCAGCTTCAACCCCTTCCGATGCATGGGCAAAGGCGGCAGCCACGTCTTCCCATGGTTCGAACCCTTTTGTAAAGCCTATGAACTTAACGAAAATGTAATTATCTATTAATGTAGGTGTCGCTGCTTCAACACAGTTAATGCACCGCAGATTAGCAGAAGCATTCATAAAATTTGGCCCGTAATTGCCGTTTTTTATGAAGAATGCGCTGGCAACGCTTTACAATTGCGATTGGACATTACGAAAGGGTACAGGCGCGGAAACGGATCTTTAGACGCACGTACACTTTCAGTGGATGATTTTGTAATGATTTTCGATGAGTAATTATTTTCATTAATGGTTTTTACAGTACATTATATAAAATAGTTTTTTCTATAGCTCATCACATATGCAGCACTGAAAAGTCGTCCTCTTTCTCTGTGACGTCATCACGCATGCATCCTCAATACAACGTGATGAACAATTAACAGCGGGAGAATTCTTCTAGAAATTAATTTATTTCTCAAGCTCGCTTTCATTTAAGCTTAATTTTTCGTTGGAAGCTGAGTTTTCGATATTTTCCCTTTATATATAATGCTTTCGATTTACAGTACTGTAATTAACTTTACAGTAATGTACACAGAACTGGGAAAATATGTTATCTAAGCTCCATATTCAAGCCTACGCCCTTCTACTAGTAGAGTATATATATAGGAATGAGTGTAAGTGCTGCTTGCTGAACACAACTAAGTACTGCTGCGTGTGTATATATATATATATACTGTATACTGAACACGGCTGAGTATCTTGCGATGTCGTTGAAACGTCCATGATTGGCATAAGAAACGCAACTGCTGAATTTAAAATAAAAATCTCTTCATTAATTAGTTATGAAGGTAATTTAATAAACTTAAGTCGCGGTTTTNCACGACTGAGTATCTTGCGATGTCGTTGAAACGTCCATGATTGGCATAAGAAACGCAACTGCTGAATTTAAAATAAAAATCTCTTCATTAATTAGTTATGAAGGTAATTTAATAAACTTAAGTCGCGGTTTTTTCAAAGCACTCAGAAAATGTTGAGAATCTTTTCTGCTAATGATTCACCCTTAACTGAAATATGAGTACAGTATTTATAGTACAATACACTGTATATGTAAGTCCTTACTGTACTTCTGGCGCAGAATTTCGGTTTTCAAGCTGAATATGAAAAAGTAAGGCGAAAAGATAGTACAGTGATGAAATAATCACTATATTATTTTCAGTCATACTTGTGATGAAGAAAGCTATACGGCCATCAAATTGTTTACAGTATTGCATATACATCAGTTTTTGTTTTTTTTTAAGCTCTGCGGTTGTCGAATTATGTGCCACCATCAACAAAACCTTATTTTCAAAGCAAGTCGCAGAGGATGAGATATCATGCAGTGATAAATTGAATTGATTCATTTTGAATGATATTCTAGGATTTCTGTACTCAGAAAAAGATCATTTTGATGAACTCGTATACCACCAACGATGCATTTCCATCAGTCTTTCGGACAATGCAGATCCACGAGTATAACATGTATACATTCGATGCACGCGTATAGCAGCACGACGGAACGTTTTATTTTTATAACATCACTAATAAATTCACCATACCGTTTTCAAACGCGGCTTCAGCAGTAAACGACTATACATAAACATCGATTTGCTAAAATGGGACTGCTGATATTTCCTCTGGGAATTTCGTTCCGGGTAACATGAAGAACCCAGGCATGTCTGATATTAACACGCATCATTTAATTTTGACTCTTAAGCTTCTTCGTCAGCTTTCAATAGATGAGCTGAAATTGCAAACATTCAGCATCTACTTTCAAAATTGAAGACACACAGATTAAGTTTTCAATGTGGTCGCAATTCTTGGGGTCGGTAGCATGCCTTTTTTTCCCTTTCATGCAGGAGGTACACGTGACATGAATGAACTCAGCAAGAAGCTCGAGTTCTTTTTGCACGGAAGAAGTTCTCACTCATCAGTTCAGCATGAATATCATATCAGGATTTTTTTCCTTCGGTTTTGCTTCCAGGCACTTGGAGGAGTAGCAAGACGAACCGAATTCCTTGAAAAATAATACTGTTCAAAACATATGGCCCGAAGCTTGATTTCTGAGGAACGCGTTGGTTTCCACCTCAAGGAAGACTACGTCAGTTTCCGTTTCGTCTCACCACTTGTCCCAGCAGCATTTGCGCGGATTTCTTTCACTTATTATGTTACGCATATCTTAACAGAATAAACAGCACTCATTCGATCGCATTTAGTATGAGAGGTTTCTCGAAACTTGTACACGAAATTGGGGGTTGCTCCATCCCGGAAGGCAAACATAAACTGCTGGAAAATCTTCAGCAACTCATCTTTGAATACAGTATCAAAAACCCCCATTCCCCTACATAAGATGAGGATGCGAAAAGAAGAGAAAACATTTTGAACATAGGTGATGATGAGACGAGGATCCTTGGGCTCCGAGCAAATCAAGGGTTACTTTTAATTGTTGGGTTTTATGACTGGTCTCATACGTCCATGAACAGCACAAACATTTAAAAATGTCTTTTTCGAAGAAACTTCGCACATTCTCAATTTTAGTTCGAAATTTACTGAAGAAAATTCTGGTTCTGTACAGTAATTATACATCGCGTGAGCAATTTATCATCTTGTCGACGGCTCCAAAAACTGGAACAATTATATACGTCATGAAAAATGCTGTTGCTGCTGTCGAGAAAATTTTAAATAAAAAAATATGCGTGAGAAAGCAATGAAAAGTTAAAATAATTTTTCAGAAGAATGCCAGGATTACCACGAAAAGATGGAAGCGCGGGACTTTTCTTTTTCGCCAATTTTTTAGCTGCTTTCAACATGGGTCAGCGAACAATTCCTTAATTTTTTTGTCCTTATTCCTCGCCATCATCTTTCGATGAGTATACAGTATATATGAGGATTGAAGTAAAGACATCAAATAAATAATTATTCACGGAAAAGTTTCCGCCAGTTTTTGACTGCCTCCACAGATGATTTCCTTGCTGGTGAACTGCAGTACAGTACTTTTGAGAAACCTTTCCCATGTGTTTCTGCATGTCATTTTATGTGCAGTAATGTACAGAAATTTTCCCCTTTTCGTCCACCCAACATTTTCGATTCACGAAACAACCAGAAACACAAATGTGTCTCAATTTTTGACGATCAAAGTCGACATGCTTTCTCACATAAAATGATATCGTACAGAATCTATATGCTACAACCTTCGGACCCGAATGTGCTGACAGAAACTCGCGGTCAGCCAAATGGATCCACTTTTCGCTGCCTCAGTTTTGTTGTCGCGTCTCAATTTCATGGGCAAAAATATAACGCAACTTCTTATATCACTTGCCTTCTGCTGATCACTACAAAACCAGTTTCCAGAGATCCGAAATTAAAGCTCTATTCGTGCAATGCAGAAACACCTGCTGCGGGGAAAAAGAACCCAGACTCGTCAGTTGCGCAAGAATAAAGGGAAGACTACATAAAAAACCAAATCCTGCATGCTCATCTGATGGACATTCCATGAAAAAATGCGCAAGGTTAAATGATACGATACATGATACAGTGCGGTTATAAATGCATGGGCGATAGGAAACTGAGCCGAAAATAAACTCAACAAACAAGAATAAAACAAGTTATAATTCCACATGCACCTCATCAGCATTCAACAAGGAAAAAAAAAAATTCCCATCGACACAGGCTCCACCAACTAGGACAAAGAAGCTGTACAAATCCGTTTTCAGGCACGCGGAAACTTCTCAATCAATCAAAATCCGATTCGGAACGATCAGGAAAACTCAATTTACAAACGTTCCATATAAAGGCATTGGGGGACAGGGAAAGTTTTTGCCTGGACATAAAGCAGCACAACAGAGTCGAATGCGACAGTCAATGACAAGTAGATCAGCCATTACCTCCCATAATCAACGAAAAAATGACACAGGAGGGAAAAAACAAAAGCCGTGCCTCGAGCACAATTCAATCTAGACGACCAATCAGCAAATACGATGCACATGCTTGCGCAACTAAAACGAGAAACAAATCCGACTCAAAATACTGTTGATCATCCCTGCCATTTGTTGACAATGCCCAACGAGTGATGCGATCTATTCCCGTTCTTCACCGGAAAAAAATTTGCAAATACGTCAGCAGCAGGCAATTGTGCCTAGTCGACAGCCTTATCTTGCACCGGGGGCACGACGATCATCAGCTTCTGCATCAGCCACGTGAAGTTGTCTGAAATCAGAATCATTGACATTTGTGGAATTCCGATCTCGGGATTACTATGCCTCTTAAACGCCCGAAGATTGCCGCAAATTTTCTCTGAGCAGTGGAGTAAAAGGGAAAAAGCGATCAATTTCTGTGTTTTAGATCTCTACAGAAATAAACGAGAAAAAAATAATGGATCCAACATAATCGTATCAGGTTTGAAAACTGATCGAAACGGGATGTTGAGGCAAAATGTTTACCAAAGCTATTAAAATTGCCCCACCAATCTATAATGAACACTCATAATATATCCTACGGCTGAATT